GTACAATCTGAAGTTGTACCATAACGTTAAAGATACAACTTCAAGTTGTACCATAAAAGGAAAAACTTATAGCACCAATACTATATAGCATTGTAAAATTCCTCAAAAACCTAACCCCTGCACAGTTTATGCTGATTGCCGATTATGAGCTGCATGTAGCTGTTTAGCATTAGCGCTTGGATTCTACTCATTCCAAAATAGCTAAGCTAATACAATTAGTCAATTACCGTTCAAACATCTTGGTTTGACCTGACCTTCTCCCTTCCTCATTACGCGGAATTCATGGTACGATCACTGCTTAATTATCTGGAATTAATGAATTAATTAAGGAGGGAGGGAAGGTCGTACGTACGTACTTAATTAACCCAACCCAACTCAAAGACAGAGAGACAGCCAGCCGGAGGCCAATTAGGATTGGATTCCTTTTGTTTATTATCCCTCAACTAGCTAGCCTACCTAGCTGGGCTTTAATTAATTGATTAATCCTGGCGATAATCCTAACCAATTTCCAATTTTTATTAAATTAGAAATGATGAAAAGGGGAACCCCAAAGTAAATGAAGCCAGCTTTAAAGTAATCGTTAATTAAACCAGCTTTGTTTAGGCCGCCCCAAAACTGCAAAATACCAACTAAGAACAACAAGAACATGCCCTCGAAAAAGAAATCACAAAATTCAGATTAATAAAGGATAAGGGAAAATGGGAGAGAGAATGTGCGGGAGGGAGGTTTGGCATATTCCGCCTATGGATCGGACTTTTGGGGTGTCCGCTTCCCACCGTATATGAGGATGATAATTTTGACTTGTTTTGTTTTATCCCAACACCTGATTTGAGTGGGTAGTATCCGTCTGGTAAGGTAAGCGAATATGAGTACTTTTTTCAAGACTATTTGTTATTAGGGCGGCAAATGAGCCGAGCTGTTCGCGAGCGGTTTGGTGTTCGACTCGAGAAAAGCTCGTTCGAAATTCGGCTCGTTAATAAATAAGCCGAACATGAGCTAAGCTTTCTTCAGCTCGTGAAGCTCGCGAGCTAGCTCGACTCGATGGCTTGTTGAGCTAAACTCGTGAGCTGGCTCGTTTAGAGCTCATGATATGTCTCAACATGTGGCTAGAGAGCCAACTCGATTACCGACTTATGGACGAATCAATCTATATCTTATGTTTTAAATTCATATGGTTGTTAAATTATATATCTCACCATATATAAAGTTTAAAACGTTGAGTATGTGAGCAAATATATCTTATTTTCTACTTTTAAAAAAATTATGTATCATAGATTGCTTCGTCACTATGAAATAACATGATTTGGAGTAGTTAAAATTTATTAACTAAATGATATATGATACCAACAAAGTATAATATGATATTAGCTAACAAAATAAATCATGTGCATAATGATATACAAAATGAAGTACCAAATAAAAGTTAAGATTTTAGTAAACAAGCTAGCTTGAGCTCGACTCGGCTCGTTAATAAACGAGCTGAGCTCGAGCTCGACTCGTTTATTAACGAGCCGAGCTCAAGCTGGGGTAAGACTCGACTCGGCTCGGCTCATTTGCAGCCCTATAATTGTTATATCGATCCGACCCGTCTATTCCTACCATATATCCCGCATGCAAATGCAAAATACATACGCCTGGCTTGTTATGGAGTACACAGTAGTATTACTTACCGACACTAATTACGGTGAGTGGCTTGGTGACATTGAAGACTCTTTTATTGCAAAAAATAAAATCGGCTTTGTAGATCGCTCTATCCCTCAATCGACAGCCGGCGCTCTTCGTGATCAATGGAAGAGATGTGGTGCCATGGTGAAAGGTTGGTTAAAGACGGCCATGAGCAAAGAAATACGGACGAGCGTCCGTTTTGCACGTACGGCTCGAGAAATTTGGCTCGACCTTGAAGCCTGATTCGGTCAAGGGAGCGCACCTCGCCTGTATGAACTGCGACATGGTATTGCTCTCTTACAGCAAGAAAAATCCAGCGTGTCCAGCTTTTACACGAAGTTGCGCGGGTTTTGGGACGAGATTCAATCGATATCTCCTGCACCTGATTGTCATTGCAGTGGTTGCACCTGTGACGTCATGCGAAAATATCGTGCGACTAAGAACAGTGAGCAGCTTTTTGATTTCTTGATGGGCCTCGACTAAGCTTTCTCTACCGTCAAGACCCAAATTTTGGCTATGCGTCCCTCGCCTAGTCTCGCTGAAGCCTACCAGTTGGTTAGTAACGATGAACAGCAAAGGAAAATTGCTCAAGCTCGTCGACCTACTGCCGAGGCTGCAGCCTTCCATACCGGTCGAGTGATGCCTCTAAGCCCCGCTACATTTGTGACCATTGCGGGAAATCTGGTCACACCAAAGACCGTTGTTTTGAGCTTATCGGCTACCCAGAGCGTAGTTCCATTAAAGGAGACAAATATGACAGCAAGAGGTGGTCGCCGCAAAGGTGCTGATGGCGGCAAAGGAATGCCTCATGCCGCTCAAGTTGGTGTCAGTGAAAGCCCAATCCCAGGACTCAACGCCTCGCAATTTGAGCAACTCAAAATGCTCTTTGGGGGCGACCTGAAGTCAGTGTCGAGCTCGGCTGATAAAGCCACAGGTACACTTTCTTCGGCCTACAATTATTTTGATGAATGGCTTATCGATACAGGTTGCAATGAACACATAGTCAATAATTCCAAGCTCATTATTGATTTGTAAGAGGAACCGGGTTTGCAAGTTTGGGTTCCTGACGGTTCAGTAGTTGGTGTTCAAGGAATTGGATCAGTTCAGTTATCTAATGGGATGGTCTTACCTCGAGTATTGTTGGTCCCGGAGTTTAAATGCAACCTTCTATCTGTTAGTCAGCTTACTCGGGATTTCTCTCTAGCTTTAATCTTCTTGAGCGACTTCTGTGTGATACATGACTTACGCTCGAAGATGATTATTGGGACGGGGACGCAGACTGATGGCCTCTACTATCTGCGTCTTTTTCATGGAGTCCGGCAGGAGATGACACATGCGGCTCAAGGAGTGGATTCGGCCGAGTTGTGGCATTCCCGCCTAGGACATCCGTCAATTGAGAAGTTTGACTTGTTGCATTTAATTCCTCGCACTCGTAGGCTAAATAAAATGCTCTGCTCCTCATGTTTGCAAGAAAAACAATCAAACGTTTGTTTTTTCCGTCCAGTTCCATTCGCAGCACTAGACCTTTTGAGATCATTCACATTGATATTTGGGGCGGCTACAAAGTTCCTTCTTTGAGTGGGGCCCATTATTTTCTTACTGTCGTTGATGATTTTACTCATGGGGTATGGATTTATTTGCTTAAATTTAAATCAGAAGCAGCCAAGTATTTGAAGATGTTTGTTCGACAGGCATCAAGGCAGTTTGGTGCGTCTTTTCAGGTCATTCAAACTGATAATGGGGCTGAGTTCCAGTCTAATGAAATGGTTGATTTTTATGTTGATGAGGATATTCATTTGCAGACATCCTGTGTCGACACGCCTCAACAAAACGACATTGTTGAACGCAAGCACATGCACATTTTAATTTGGATACCGCCCGGGCTTTGCGCCTCCATGCGAACTTGCCCAAGAAATTTTGGGCGAGTGTGTTCTCACTACAGGTTATTTGATTAATCGACTTCCGCATAGTGCTTTTGAAAATCAGACCCCTTACGAATGTCTTTTTAGTCGTCGTCCCTGATACTCCCATTTGTGTTCGTTTGGCTGTCTAGCATATTCTAAAGACACTCACCGTCATTTAGACAAGTCTGATGAGTGCGGTCGTCCATGCGTGTTTCTCGGCTATCCAGCTTCACAGAAAGGTTATCGAGTGTTTGAGTTGGCCTCCGGGCGGATCTTTACCTCCCGTGATGTTGTGTTTGAGGAGAAAGTTTTCCCTTTTCAGCATGGTAAAGGAAACCGTACCGGACATCATACCGGATTCCTTTATGATAGGGTATTTTGTGGTACGACCGTGGTTCAACCGTTTCATACAGGTAAATATCGTTTTTGTAATAATAAAATATATTTTTTGTCAAAAAAACGTGCCACCAAAATCAGAATATCGTCTCGGAGTAATACCGGATGTATCGGAATATACCGGATAATAAATGAATAAATACAAGTAGTTAGCAAATTAATAGAAAAAAGAAGAAATTTTAAACAATAATTATTTTTTATAAAAAACTTTCCCATCATTTAATAGATTACTAATCCGTTAGGAAAAAGAGAGAAAAAGGAATTATCATATATATAGAAAGTTAGAGACTACCCTTCTCTTAATTCATCAAAAATAAAAAGCCTCTCTTCCCCTGTCTTCTTCGTCCCTGCAAATCTTCTTTTTTTTTTCACTTTCCTACGGTGACCCCTATCTTTTCATCCTTCCTTTCCCATTCCACCATAGGATGTCGCCCATCTTCCCATTCTCCGCCTGTTCCTTTCAATTTCAATTCCTGTTCAATTTCAATCTCAATCCCAATTCCAATTCCCCCCAGTTTCAATTTCAATTCAACTACTATCAAAAAACAAAACAAAAAAGATTACTAATCCTCTGCGTGCACTTGACCCTTTCCCCATCTACCATCTTCCGTTCTTCCTCCTCTCTCTCTCTCTCTCTCTCTCTCTCTCTCACATATCCTCACCAATCTCACTCCCACTCCCCGCGCTCAAAGCAAAATCAAAGGCAGTGCCTAATTGATCTCTCCAATCGTGGCCTTGTGGGTCTCCAATCGCCACTCTCCACTTGCCAGAGGAGAAGAGAAGAGGCGCGGCGGCACGACAGAGCGGTGGAGCGTTGCATGGATCATCTAGATCTTTCACCGGTCTCCATGTTGATCACTCTGATCGCGGGTCGTCAGTCGCCACTCACCAGAGGAGAAGAGAAGAGGAGGGACGGCGCAGAGCAGAGCTGGAGAAGAAAGAAACGATGAAAACCTCCCGCGATGCCCTCGTTTGATTAGAATTAGGGTTTTGATTTTGGGCATTCGTTGTTTGGACACCTTTTTTTTTTTTGTAGAACGTCAACATTTTTTATTGGATATAGATACCGCCGGTTAGAACAAAACCGGGCGGTTTCTCGCTTTGTGCCGGTTAACCCGAAAAAACCGGCCGACAAGGTAAAAAGTCCCCTAACAGCCTATCGTTTCGTTTTTGGTCTGGTTCCTGGTTGAACCAACCGGTACGATCCGATTTCCTGGTCCATGCTTTTCAATCCTTGGCTAGCACCCATTCCTGCCCCGGGCAATAATGAGGACTCCTCCACGTCGTCCTCCCCAGCTGCTCCTTTGTCGCCCACTCCGCCGCCCCTGGACTAGCCTCCAACTGTTCCCGTTGCTCCTCGTCACAGTGATCGAATCCGAAAACCTTCCGTTCGTCTTCAAGGTTATGAAACTCATTTCCCTACTTCTCACACTACTACTATTGTGAAGTATCCTCTCTTTGCGTATGTCACATTTGAGCGTCTTTCTCCTAATCATCATGTTTTTTTTGGCAGCGGTAGATGCGGCTGTCGAACCCCAGTTTTTTCACGATGCAGTCAAGCTCGCCTGTTGGCATGAAGCTATGCAACGTGAAATTGCAGCTTTGGAGGCGAATGGCACTTGAGACTTGGTCGAGTTACCTCCTGGGAAGAAAGATGTTGCTTGTAAGTGGGTCTACAAAATTAAGTTTCACCCCGACGGCAGTGTTGAGCGCTATAAGGAGCGTTTATTCGCAAAGGGTTTTACTCAGTTTGAAGGCGTGGACTATAACGACACTTTTGCCCCTGTTGCCAAGTTGGTGACCGTGCGTACTATCCTCGCGGTTGCTGCCCATCGTGGTTGGCATCTTCATCAAATGGACGTCAACACCGCCTTTCTCCATGATGATCTTCATGAAGAAGTGTACATGAAGCTTCCTCTGGGTTTTGCTCGACCGGGGGACACTCGGGTTTGCCATCTTCGCAAATTCATATATGGCCAAATGTTTTCTTCACGACCGGTTCAGCATTAAGGGCTTGGGCACATTGAAGTATTTTTTGGCATTGAGGTGGCTCGAGCTAGACGTGGTTTGGTGCTGTCTTAGCGCAAATATACCCTTAACATCTTGAAGGATGCTGGGGGCACTCGCTGCTAAACCCTCTGCCTTTCCAGAACCACCGCCTCACCAGGATTGAAGGCCCTGCAGCCAAAGATCCATTTGGTTTCCGTCGCCTCGTCGGGCGGTTATAGTATTTGACTGTTACGAGACCAGACATTGTCTATGCGGTGAACATTTTAAGTCAGTCGGTTCATTCACCCCGCCAGGAACACGAAGACACGCCTACAGAGTGCTTCGCTACCTCAAGGGTGCTCCCGGACGTGGTCTCCGGTTTTCTTCCACAGTTTCACTTAGTTTAACTGCTTATTGTGATGCCGATTGGGGAGGCTGTCAGCGTACGCGTCGCTCCACTACGGGATACTTCCTACGACTAGGTGACAGTCCTATTTTTTGGCGTACGAAGAAGTAGTTCGTTGTTGCTCGTTCATCCTCTGAAGCAGAGTATCGAGCCATGGCGAGTACTGTTAGTGAGCTCATTTGGCTCTGGTGGTTGCTTAGCGAGTTGGGTGTCTCCAACCCGGATTCGACGCCATTGTATTGTGACAACCAAGTGGCCCGCATATAGCCGCCAACCCTGTTTTTTATGAGCGCACAAAGCACGTTGAAATGGACTGCTACTTCATACGGGAGCGAGCGACATCTAGTGATATCGCTCCTCAGAAGATATCGTCTCAAGAACAAGTTGCCGATATGTTTACGAAAGGGCTTGGTGCGGAGCAGTTTCATTTCCTGAACTCCAAACTTGTCCTTCATGATATTCATGCCTCCGCTTGAGGGAGCGTGTTATGGAGTACACAGTAGTATGTTGGTGACTGCGTACATGTCCTTAAGTGTTAGCTTTGTTTTGTTTGTGGGCAGCATGGATATTTCGCAATCCCAAATGACTGTAACGGGATTTGCTAGCCCCAGTGGCGGATCCAGGGGGTGGCCACCCCGGGCCACGGCCCAGCCCTCCCCTGGATCCAGAACTAGTATAGTCTTTATGAGTTTATCGATTTTAGTCATTTGGGTCAGTGTTATTTTATAATAAAATTGTGTGTAATTAGGAAAATGAATAAGATCAACATATTCAAATCACAACTCTAAATTTAGCCTGAAAATTCTAGCTGCAATGATTTCATATAAAGAAAAGCAAACAATGAAACCTAAAATTCTAAAACGTAAAAGACTAAAAGAAATATGAAGTTTATTCCCTTAAAAAATAATTAGAGCAGCTGTTGAAAATAGGAATTGATACACAATATATATTGATTAGTCGATTGTGTTGACATTTGCGCAACAAAATGAGCGATGAATTTCTCGCCAATTGGTTAACTATTTTATCTTAAAGAGAGTACGCTATTGATGTGGATTTAAACTCCATTATTGATGAATTCACTATATTAAAATTTAAAAGATCGACGTGTATAATTGATATTGTAAAAAAACTATGATTTTTTTACGGTATCTAATTTTCTAATGAAATGCGGCCCAGTGCTATACTGTGTCCTGGATCCCCGCTGGCTAGCCCTATATATATTTGGCAGCTATGCTGCACGTAGTATGTATACCATTGGGCAAGAAACAAAATCCTAATAAATTCGAAGGCTCCTTGTGCGAGCCTTCCGTGGACTAGTCTCATTCATTTGAACGAGGATATCACGTAAATCGCCGTGTCTGTCTTTCGTTTATTGAGTTTTAGCATGGCTGGATGGGTGGGTAATTAGTAATTACTTATTAATTATTATTGTTGTTGGTTATAAGTTATAAAGCCTTAATTAATTTATTATGGAGTGGTCCATCGCCTCGTATCTCGTTGGAAAGCTGCTGAATATACGTCTCAGGTAAGGGCAGCACAGACGACATGTGCTTTCGACACGTGGACGATCCGAGATGCTTGGGGGTAAAAAAGGTTCTCTTCTTCGGATAAGGTGGCAATTTGGCATGCATGCATATGGTCCCCCGACCCGGCCCAAATGGACGCGCGTTGACGTCATCTGTGACGCCTATATGAGGTCGGGACCGGCCGGGAGTTAGGATGCTGGACGCCGCCGATTGCATGCCGGGGTCGGAGAGGACGGAGGATAGCTGATCACCCAAAACGTGGTAAGTAATAAAGACTCGCAACAAGACTCGGGTGATCTATTCATATTAATTACATAATAATTTGGAAATTATATATGTGTGGACAAAGGTAAACATACGCCTAAGGCTAGCATATGATATAGTATGCATTCATAATTATTAGATGTAATTTGATATATTTCTATATAAATTAAATTTTTTGGTTTTTGATAGATTAAACAAATATTGTAATTTGAAATGTGTGTATATTATACCTTGCAAGAATTCCAAGGTTACAGCTGCTAACTTTTTCAATGTCTTTTGTTTTTGGCTTTGGATGATTTGTTGCTTTTAGTTACTTACGTAACAAGTAAAAGCAAAATGAAAGTGGACGCGGTGGCACGGGATAACACTATCACATGAAAAGACTATTTAATTTGACATGTCATATAGTATATTTTTATTGATGTTTTTGGAATGACATTAGAGATGCAATAACAAAGTTTTACGTGGATGAATCGTATTAAAATTGCAATAATCAGTTCTTTTTATCGTTATATGATTTTGTTGAGCCGTTAAATAGGAAAAATTTTACGCTATATAGTATTGGTGCTATAGGTTTTTGTGTTTATTGTACAATTTAAAATTGTACATTTTCATTATGGTACAACTTCAAATAGTACCTATACTTTTTGTACAAATTTTTTTATGGTACAACTTGAAGTTGTACTTTTATGTGATGGTACAAGTTCAAGTTGTAAAGTTGTGCCATAACATAATGGTACAAATTGTTTTATGGTACAACCTAAACTTATACATTTAATGTTATGGTACAACTTTGAGTTGTACATTAAAGCATTAATGCTATATAGCATAATAGAAGTGCTCCGGTAAATAGATGCAATGTCTTATTTTATTTGTGTTTTCTTTCAATATAATAACTAAAATTTTCAATTTATGACGCATATTTATTTATAAAGACAATAAATACTCACAATAATCTCGAAAAAAGGGATACATTTACTACGAAGGCAATGATAGAACATAGAGGCAATATGGGACTGTAGTGGACAGGTTCAATTGTCAATTTATATTTTGTGATGACATTTGGTCGCACATTCATGTATCCTTTTATTGATATCTAAAAATACGTGAATACGATGATAAAAATACAAAAAATACTATACTGTATACAAGATTTAACATATACAAGAATAAATTGAGAAAACGATTAAGTATTAAACTCTCAACGGCTGTTTTGCAGGACATGATTGTCTTTCGGATTGCAGGGTCGACAACTTGCTGGATCCAGGCCAACACCATGATGTTGTTGCGTTTCCAGGCGGTGGACTGATCACTATCATCTCCTGGATCTGGAATGCTTCCATCAATGAAGCCAGTCTTGTTTTTGGCTCCCAGGGCGTTGAACATTGCCTTGTGCCAGTCATTGTAGTTTGTGGTAGTGAGTTTCTCTCTGACAAGTTGAGATCCAGGTTGCTCACTACCATGAAGGTAGTAAGGATCAAACATTGGATCTGTGTTTGGTTGTTCCATGGGTGGCGGCTAGGGTTAGAACCCTTGAGGCTCTGATACCATAACACTTGTTTTGGGTTTGGAATTTTCAGCTTGTTTGTTCTCATTGCCTTTCTTCAGCTTATATAGCTGACAAGTTGTTCGTTTACAAAACAAGTAAAGAAGACAAACTTGGGAAAGAAGAAAGTACAATCCGATTTGGGAAATTGGACAAAATAAGAAGTTGAGCATCAGTTTGGTAATTCGCCAGACACAACTTGGCTCCAACTCCTATATGTCGTCGTCTTGGTTGCAGGCGGGGTTTCCTTTGGATACGGCGCCGTCTTCACTTCAACGCTTAGTTCTTCCCGACACGGCGTCGTCTTCACTCCAACGGTCGACTGGTTTGAAAGATGCTCCTCTGCTTGCTGCTCTGCTTCTGCATTTGAGATTGACGAAGAAAAACTACTGTTTTTCTCTGATACGAATCGTTGATGGATAACATTCACTATACCTATCTCAAGTTCTAATTCTCTCGAGACCATAAAAAGTTACGGATACGGGGTAGGCCATGGGCCGATGGCCTAGCTAAGACTAAGAGTAGAAGATATGACAACTTAATACAGTTTCTTCTTTAATCCATTATTAATTAATTATTCAAGTTGATTTGGTTGTGTTTGTTTATTTCTCTCAACTTTTCTATTTGTGGTTGTTAAGTTAGTACTTAGTAGTGGTGATGGTGGGTTTGTCTTTTTTGTTTTAACTTTTAATTTCCGTTCTTTCTTTCTTGTGTGGGGTTTGCGTCTGGTGTAGTGTAGTCCCTAGTTGGTGGCATGTGTGTCATATGCTAATTTATATATTTTTTTAGAGAATATTAATTAATATATTATTTTGTTAGCTTCTTGGTTTATTCCTGGCTGCGAAATGCCATTGCCGTCCTCATCAGTGCTTTAGAGCTTAGCCGTCGTGTAGTTGTTAGTTGAGGGCAATGGTGGAAGAGAAGAAACCGGGGGAACAAGGCAATTAGAACGAGACGAGATATATCTAACTGTATGTGGATATAATAATAATAATAATAATAATAATAATAATAATAATAATAATAATAATAATAATTTATTATCATATTATAAAAGGTGCGTTTCGGTTGGAGGGGTTTGACCAGTCCGCTCCGCCGGGCGCTGGCTGTCGTCGTGTACCTAATTTTATTATGTATATCAGTATATTAGTTAAGTTCAGTTTTCTGGTTGGGACTTGGGGTCGTGCCTTGCCTTTGGTAGCCGATGTGGAAATAACTATTCACTTTGCGTAGAATGATAGCATAAACCATACCTCTCATATCATAATCAATTAGACCAAAGATATATAGTTAGCTTATAACTATGGATTAAATGTTCCCCTAATTAATCATTATTCCAGTTCCAAGTCAAAACCCTATCTTCTAATCTACAGGAGGGGAGCGTTCGAGACGCGTTACCAGTTTTGCAAATTTTTGCCCTATCAACTTGTAGCGGTTGCCAATTTTCTGCTATCTTTTTATGCAGATGAGATCTTTGAATATAATCTCTTTATTCATAAGAAAAAGAAGAATTTCACTCCATGAAGATTAAAATGTTACATTGTTATTGTAAACTCACCCAATACTTAAGTCTTTTACTCGTCATCAAATTCATGCAAATGTCGTTGTATTTCGTGTACATGCATGTATTTACATGCAAACTTACACAAAATGTCAGAAGGGGTTAAGACAGTCCAACAATACACAAATGAGTCAAATAGTATATAATATTTCCTTTTTAGGAATTTAGATTATCTCTCGGTATCCAAGATTTATGAAACTATTCCTTCGATAATAGAACAAACATCAAAGTTATTGTTGAGTTTTAATCCTTTGCTTTTATGTTGTGGATGTGACTGTCATATATCTGCCACACCAATACAAAATCATTTAATCAAATTTTAATTATTCATTCATATCCAAAAAAATAAATTTAAGGAAAGAATAATTGAATTAATCTTGTTGAAACTCCCTAGCCTTTCCATTTCTACAATAGGGAAGCTTTGTCTTCCTCTTTTTCAAAATCCCCCCTCCCTCCCCCCTTCACGCTGTTAAAGCAAAGATTGGAGATGCTGCTCGAAGAAGATGCAGAATTGGTGAATCCGAATCCTAACTGGAAAAGGAAAATAGCTGGAGCCAAACCGCGTCGTTTAGAGGAGCCAAACTGTGTCGTTTAGAGCTTTGTCTGTTTAATGATTTGTTGGTTAAACTGTGTCGTTTGGATTCTTTCTGTTTAGTCCCTATTCTTTGTGTTGAGTCTGTGAGAGTCACACTGGCTAAACTAGCCGTTGCAGAGACCAACGGTAGCAAAGTAGGTTTGTTGGGAGCTTGTTGGGAGCTAATCTTCAGGGATTTAGTTGTTAGTGGTGAGCTGAGTCTAAGG